AAAAATCCCAAAATTTTCATCTTTACACATTCATGTTTCTGGCATGCGGGGGACGATATGTACTTGCCGATTTGTTTTACAAAAATTATTTAAAAATCCGACGTCTCGGTTGCTCCGCAAACCGGTTAATCGCTTCTGCAATTATTTCACATTTATTCTCTAAAACAAATTTTCGATGTATTCTTAAAATGCGTAAATCTAAAGGTAAATTTTATAGGAAATTAAAGTAACAATTTATTAAAACTAGTAGTAACCCCGAAATATGGGTGAGTACTTAGCTCAAAATTTATTTAAAGAACTTCGTGAAAGACAACCATTAATCTTGTATTGCTAGTGTTGTTCCGATACGAGTACCTACAAGTAATTACTCGATATTTTCTTCAAGTACTGAGTACTTGTTGTACTCGAATACTTCCCGCAAGTACTTAGGTGGGTATCGAGTACGCGATTAAAGTATTACTTGCTTTTCCAAAAATTTTGAATTTCGGTTCTGACAATATATGAATCATGCTGTTGTGGATTTTGCACCACGTTAGTATGGCTGCTTTTTCGGTAAATTTTGGTCAGATAGTACTCGAACCGATTCTGTTTTTCTTTACATGACATAAGTATTTACAATGAGTTCGATACATTTGTGGCATCGATACTTTTCTTCAATATTTTTAAAGAGTACAGGTATCAAGTACAAGGTCGTATCGCTAGACAGCTGATAACCCAGGATAATTTTAAAGTTCTTAAAAGACATTACTCTACTCTAAGCTTCGTGCAGTGGGCCATGAGAAAACCGTAATCTTCAAGGTATAGTCCAACCTTTCACAATATCTGGTATTAGTCTTAATCTGAAACGCAATAATCATTGAAAATTGGCGCCGTTTATGGTTAAAAGCATTTAATATCACACTTTCAAGCTAAGGCTTTCTTAACCCTATTTGGGAGTAACGTAAGCCCTTAACATACGCCGTAGAGGCTTATGTACTTAAAAGATAACCTCTGAGCTAAAATATACTTAGTCCTGTCTTATTTTTTTAAAGAATATTGAAGTTGTGAGTTTGACTAATAATAAAACTTAGTTTTATTAATAATAACTATAACCACATTTATTTAAAACAACAAAATAAAAAGTAAATTTTGTGTTAAAATTAAAAAAAAAATACCCATTCCGTATACGCCTCGCAGACGTAGATTATACTTTTAGGGTTAACACCTTCAGTACAAAAATTCAACCACTGGTTCTACGAAATTTTAAATATGAATACCGGCATACAAAAATGTGTAATGCTTTGAGGTTTGCGGTCATTCAGGGTAATTTTTAATGGTCAGTGATATCCTAGGTGTTTAAAAAAGAAAGGGATCTCAGCTATCTTTATTTTTTGCTTTCGTGAAATATATTTCAAAACTATGAATAATACCTAATAACTTTTCCGAATCTCCATTCCATGGAAATATGGTTAATATTTTTCAATAGATTATATTACTCATTATCGACTTTTCTGCCGCTTTTTACTTGTTTGACAAACACGGTCAACTGCAACTGCAGCTTGCACTTTAGTTTGATATATAGCTCAATTCTGTGGCTGCTACAAATCGGCCTAACTAAGTCGTATGACTGAGCAATTATATATACAACTACAAAGCATAGCGACATGTAACACATCATGCAAGTGCCAGTTTATATCATGTCGCTTATACATGTTTGAAAGTGATATATGAAGACATTGCCGAATAAATTCAAATCAAATCATGCATCAAATTTATGCATGTCAACAAAAGGAACACATGCAACATATTCAGCATTATTATTTACATTTTATATTCGGAAGAGATTTTCCGAGTTTTGCAAGCTCCTACTATAGTAAAATTTATTAAACAATTATCTAATTAAAAATCTATATACCAACGGTGGGCAAACCTGGCTCTTTGAGCCAAATGCGGCTCTTTGCTTAGCAAAGTGCGGCTCTTTTTACTTTATCCTTGCTTAGAACATTTTTGCTCTTTTTACTTTTTAAAACACATATTTCATACATATTACACATATGCATACATATTTTACATACATACATGTTATACATATAAATACATATTTTAGCCCACAGCAATTTGCCTACAAGAAAACAGCTGATCAAGAAGAGCTGGTTGAAATTTACGCAAATCCCTAAATTGAATTTGATGGTTTGGAAGTTGAAATAATAAAATGCGACTAACTAAACTTGTAAGAAATAAGTAATTATTCGTTTAGTCAGTGAACTGTGTCAGGATAAGAATTCAGGATTTGTTTTGTCACGTTTTCAATTTCATACTTTTTACAGGTCTATTCTGCGCTGGTAACATAAATTTTATAACCGGTAATTAAAGTGTCTGTCAATTTTTAAACCTTTTTCTCATTCTGTGCTCTCTTGTAACCGGTTAATTTGGTTACCATCTCATAAGCTGGTAACAAAATATTTCCCCGTGAAATATGCAATACAGGAATTTCCACAAATCTTCATAGCTGAGTTTCTGATTATTTTCACTGCATTACCAACGTACCTGGAATCGCGGTGACAAGAGTGGTAACATTTTTTGGTAATAAAATTTTCCGGTCACAAAATCTTCGGTAACGTGCAGAATAGAACAGCTGAGCTAAGAAGCAGTGCTATAACAGTATGTTTGAGATGGAATCACATGGCATAGCAGGTGACAGGTAATAAGGTCAATGGAAATAAGGTCAATTGACTTTATTTCCCACCCTGGTAAGAAATAAAGTCAATTGACATAATTACCTTTTCAAAAGCGAAATAAAGTCAACAAAAATTTGGAAATAAAGTCATTGACGCTTTTTCCTCATTCAAATGCAAATAGCGTCAACAATGCTTAAAGTATGTCGATTCATAGAAAAAAATTTTGTTCTTACAACAAACATTGCCCCGTAAGTGTTGTTTTTTAATAGATGAAAAAGGTTATTGCCAAATCCTCAGTGTTGTGACATTAATCCACACACAATCATGAACAACCACCAATTGATTTTATTAAAAAAAATTTAAATTGCGAATATGTAAAAACACGATGCGAAAAACTAAACGCCTGCGTACAGCTGGAATATGATAAATATTTGAAGAAAGAGTGTAGAAATGATCCATAACTTGCATTTCGTTTCCACAGAAATAAAGCGAACACCATTAAATTGAACACTGAAATAATTTTGTGTTTTAAAATAGCATATTTTGAACGAATTCGGAATGTCTAAGGTGGAAAAGAAAAGTCTGCAGATAGACTATATTGAATATAAGCCCTCGGTGTTTAAAATATATAAACATTTTATTTCAACGTATACAAAAAATAAATCTTCCCGCGTTACAGCACGGTGGATATGGGGAAGGGGCCGGGGGGCCGCGGCGTAGCGTGAAGTGGTGTTCGCGCCGGTCGCGCGGGGTACGCGGGTGGCGAGCGCGGTGTGGCGCGCTAACTCGGGCCGCCGCGAAGCTAAGCAAATTTAATGTTTGAAAGAGAAATAATGTCAATGGATTTTATTTCGTTTTTAAAAAGGTAATAATGTCAACTGACTTTATTTCGCACTAGGGTGTTAGGAATAATAGTGACTGCCTTGAGGTATTCCTGAGTAGGGATGGGTAAATTCGATATTCGAAGCTTCGAGATTCGAATTTTAATCGAATTTTCGCTCCGAAATGGCGAATTTTTGAAATCGAACTTTGAGGTGCTAAAATTCGGATAAAATCGAACTTTTCTAGAAAAAAATCGAATTTCGTCTTTATTTGCAAAAAAGCAACTCTGCGACTTTTTGACTAAATTTGGCGTCACTCTAGATGGCGCCACGTTTGACTTAGGAATGCAAGTAAAAAAAAACATCGACTTTTTTCTAATGCATCGATGTATCGTATATAAAAATCGATATTTTCGATGCATCGAATAAATTGAAAACATACAAGAAAATGGAACAATCGGACTTACAGCCCTATTCCGGTTTTGCAATAGAATGACAATTGATCATCCTTCATTGTCGTGATTTTGTCATTGTCGTTGCACGTTGCTATTCCTAACAAAAAATGACATGGTGAAAAGTTCATTGTTGTAGAAACAGCTGGTCAACGCTATTATTTGCAAAAAATATGAGCGGTGAAACACCAGAAAAGTGAGTATTTGTGTGAAATAGATAAATTCGTATATTTATAACATTTATAAATATTTTAGACGTGCAAAATATGAGCGGACGACGCAGGAGCAGCTGCAATTTTATGTGAAGTTTTGTAGGGAGCATCCGGAGCTGCTCGTCTTCCACAAGCACGGTTGCGCAAATAACAAAAATTTGTTCTGCCATTGAAATTAGTTGATTTTTATATTTTTTTCACAAATTTATTAAATCGTCGCACTTTTTAAACCAACACAAACATATGTTTTTGCCTTGTCACCTGCCCAAAAGGTCATGATAATAAAAATGACAATTGGCATGATTCGAGCTTTTGAATTTTGCTGCGAATACCAAAAGTTTTGTCAGTGTGGCGGAATAGGGCTGTTAGATAAATTATTAAGTATTAACTCAAAGTGAAATATGTTTATTTTTTTAATAGTTGCAAATCCCATTTATAAATATAAATTCATGCAGCGTATATGAAAATCGATATTTTCGATGCATTGAATGAATTAATAAAAATGTACAAGGAAATTGAAAATCGGAACTTCGATAAATGTTTAAGTATAAACTCAAGGTGAAATAGATTTATTGATGATGTAGAAGTAAAGATAATTAATTGTCTTTGAATTGTCAGCAATACTCTTCTAATCGGTCAATCGGTTTCTTGGTATTCTTATAAGCTGCAAAATCATATTTATAATCTAAAAGACATTAATACAATGAATACAATACAATAATTTAATACAAAATGTATATTTGGTGAACATTCATTCGCATCAGCTGTCAAATTGAAATATATCGATGTATATTGAAGAGAAAATACAATGGTTTTATTCGATGATTCGAATAGCAAACATCAATGTTTCCAATGTATCGATGTTTTTGTGCATGGATGTTTTTGTGCATCCCTAACTTGCCCCATTTCAATTCTGCAAATTTGCTTGCGTTTATTTTACACAGGTAAGAATATTGTGAAAATGTATACTATTAGTGTTATAAAAGTTTAGTTTTTTACAGCAGAGTCGATAATTTTATGCGCCGTATACACTTTGAGTTTGCTTACTGAATTTTTCATACATTATTACTAACAATGAGCCCAAGTATTGTGTGGCAGTACTACGATAAAAAAGAAAAAGGAATTGCGATCTGCGTAAAGTGCGGGAAATGCTTTAAGTACCACAGCAGCACAACCACGTTAAAAAACCACGTAGAAAAAGTACACAAAATTAAAATGGAGGTAAAGGAATTTAATTTATATATTTCAATACCGAAAATTGTTCCATTTATTTATAGAAAACTGACATCATTGAGCTTGTGGACAACGATGATGACAATGAGGTATGAGTTCCCTAGGGTTTCATTTGTAATACATATTGTTACTTTTCTGTTCACACAATTTTTTAGCCGAATCAAAAGAAGTCTAAATCTGTTTACCCAATACGAAATTCCTTTGAAAGAGCAGTATCATTTTCTGGTGTGTATGCATTAAAGAAATTTTACATCTCAACTTTTGAAATTTATTAAAGTTCTGTAATTATTGTAATATTAGATAACAGCACCAAAGGGAAGGAAATTTCAAATGCGTTAATGTATATGATAGTTGTGGACGACATGCCACTTTGTACACCTGAAAAAGGGGGTTTTTTAAAGTTCTGCAAAACGTTGCAACCTTTATATAAAGTGCCTACTGAAAAAACAATGACGTCAAAAATTGAAACAAAATATAGTGCAATCCGATTAAAGGTCAAAAACGAACTCAGTCAGGCGAAATCTGTATGCCTCACATCGGACATATGGACAAACTCTTCGACTATGCAAAGTTATGTTGGAGTAACTATACACTTCGTTAAAGGTTAGTTCCTCCTTTTTATCTGCGAAAAATAATTTTTGTAGTAATTTGTTTTTGGCGGAATATTTTCACTTATCAAAAACTGGAATCACGGGATATATAAAGAATAGAGCCCGTTGAGCTAGAAAAAGAAAAAGTGGATGTTGTCGGCCTTCATCCATTTATTCTGACGGTATAAAAAATTGTTGATGCAAGTTAAAGTGTGTTAAAAGTTGTTAAAGTGGAATTTTCAATAACGTGGATATGGTTGGAAAGATAATTGACAGACCTTTAATCTGTCTATATCATATATATAATACATACATACTTCGGGAATAACCAAAAAGACCAAATTATAATTATAACGGAGGAGCCAATATCAAAGGCGCAGTGAAACAAGAATTTGGAGAGTCGAAGCACGTAACCTGTTTTGGTCACACTATCAATAATATTGGTCAAGCGATCATTCAAAATAACAATGACGATGCTATCGACGATGATGAAAACGAAACGGAAGGAGGCACGCTAAAGGATCTTTTAAAAAAGGTAAAGAATTTAGTAAAGTTTTTTCGAACGAGCGAGGTGGCTGCGAAAAAGTTGAGAGATTACCAAAAAAGCAACGGTCAGTCAAACTTAAAGCTGATTCAAGAAGTGAGAACAAGGTGGAACTCTTGTTTTGAAATGCTGGAACGTTTTATGACATTGTCTACATGTATTGCACAAGTAATTCTTCAGCTACAAATGGATAAGAACACGAGGGCCCGCACGCCTAATATGGTCACTGCTGAAGAAGTGGACGCTCTTAAAGAAGTAACGGATATTCTTAAGCCTTTGCATGAAATTACAAGTGAACTCTGCGGTGAAAAAAATGTAAACATAAGCAAGTGCATTCCATTGGTTGCAGGATTAAAAAAGGTTAAAGAAATAATTAGTAAATTGTTTCTAGAGTCATTTTGTACTTTTAAGATGACGTAGTAGACGTTGTAGACATTAACCAATAGATGAACAAAATGATTAATAATGAATTTGGCTGTAAATAAATCTAAATCTATATTTTACAGGCAACAATGATCATCGAACCGACTACAGCAATAGGCAAAATAGCAAAAGACGTCCTGTTGACCGAGGTCCAAAAACGTTACGCAAATTTGGAGGCGGTGGTTATTTACGGTGTGGCAACAATACTTGATCCAAGGTACAAGAAGGCTGCCTTCGAAAACTCAATCTACTGTTCGCGGGCTGCTGCTTTTATTGGTACATTAGACAAATACCTATTTATCATAAACAACTATTTCTGTTTTTTAAACTTTGAATAGGTAACTTATTAATAACCAGCCAAACCCAAAGTAATGAATCTGTGGAAATTATCGCTGAGCTTCAAACATCGGACGAAGGAGGCATATGGTCATATTTAGATCAAAACATTAGCAACAGTCAATGCAATAGAAGTAACGTTTCGGAAATAAATTCGGACCAGCTGCGAGCTTATTTAATCAGGCCCGCTGTTTCTCGAAAATTAAACAAAAACCCTTTAACAACTTGGCAGGCGTTGAAAAATGATTTTCCTTTGCTTTTTCCAATTGCCCAAAAACATTTGTCAGTTATGGCAACGTCAGTCCCATGTGAGCGACTATTTTCACATGCTGGACTTATAGCAACCCAGTTGAGGAACCGTCTCTCACCCGAACATTTAAATATGTTAGTATTTTTGCGGTCAATTGAGGAAGAAATGTGGGACATATGAGGCTATTAGCGCAAGACTTGGTCTTGGTCTGTACAACCACTCTTACAGTGGCCGTAAAAATAATAGCACTTTAATATTTGGACATGTTTTGACTTAATTTTAAAATATTATATATGTAAAATTCAACAAAATTTCCAAATTAAAAAAAAAAGTTGTTTTGGCAGTTTCAATTTTGGTATTATAAAATGCAAGTTTGAAGTAGCTACAAATTGAAAAAGTTTGAAATTTTTTTTGCATATATGATATTTAGAGGAATGAACTACATATATTTTTTATAAACAATTTATGAACATTGAACCAACAAAAGAAAATGAAGTCAAACATGTCCAAATATTAAAGTGCTCTAATTTTTATGGTCACTGTAGATCCAAAATTTTTTTTTCATTCAATTGTTGATTTTTTAGAACTATGTAAGTGGTACAACTTAGTTATTTCCAGTGTTCTATTTCGATAAAAATTCTTCAAAAGTGATGGAAACTTTAACGAATTTTGGATATGTATTCTTATTTTTCTCAGTATAAATATTGATACATTGTTTTAAGGAAAAATGATTTAAATGAAGCGTATATTTTTTTTTATTGAATCTTGTGCAAACGGTTGAAAATATAATGTTTGCG